TACATCCTGCCATAAGCGGACCTCGCATCTTGACATGATCTGAAAGCCACGTGACTCCTACAACGGACAAGACCGCTGCTGCGTTGGGAGGAACTGTGAGAAGTTGGGCGGTCGTCGTCACATGATATCCCAGGCCAGTGATGATAGTCGGCAGAAACAAAGAGAAGCTCTACATCAATGTCGATCGCAAATGAGCACAACTGACGTGACGATGTTCGGAATGGGTAAGGAACAACTTACGTAGAGGGGAATAAGAAGGAAAAACCATGCAAAGCATGACAACCAGGTTTGCGGTGCCTTGAACGCCATCCGGACCCAATGCCAGTCGAATTTCTCCCGGTTGACATCTTCACTTTGTGTCGCGCCATGACTATCATCCTTCATGCGCGCCAAAGCCAGTGCGCGCTCTTCTTCGTTGAGGAATTTGGAATCGGCCGGTGTGTGCGGCATGAAGAAGAAGCATGCAACACCGAACAACGTCGTGATTATACCCTCAACTACACGGATAATTTTGTCAGCATCAATTCTTCCAAATCTTCCGTAGTCAAGGCCGAGATGTGAGACGCGCAACGTACTGAAGAAAATCCAGGGCCACCGGTTATAGCCTCCATGTCTGATCTTAGCGAGACCAGTAGCCAGCAAACCACCAAAGGCGCCCGAAAGTGGTGCGGCACAGTAGAAGTACCCGATGCGGCGCAGAAGCTGATGTCGGCGATAGAACATAGACAAGTAAATAATGATACCGCCAAGCAGGCCACCCTCAAATAACCCCAGAAACAGACGCGCGACGATGAGTCCGCCAAGAGAGCGCGTGAAACCGACGAAAGTGCTGACGAGACCCCAGGCCGTCATGATGGCGGGGAGGTAGTACCCCGCCTTGACGCGCTTCACGATCCAGTTGCTCGGTACGTCGACTAGGATGTAGGGTATGTAGAACACGAGCAGCGCGACGTTATATGATGTTCCGGTTGAGATCCCAAGGTCCTCGACTAAACCATCGATCTTGGCATTGCCGATGTTGCTGCGGTCGATGAAGGCGAAGAGCCTAGGGGGAAGATATTAGTCAGTCATTCATAAATAAGGATGATTTGAGGACGCCTATGAAATTTGCGCTCATGGCATCTCTCTCGATCATCGTAAATGACAAGTAGACAATTGTGTGCAAATTCCGGCAGGGCCGTGTGATGAAATTCTCTCTTACCAAATTCCAAAAACCCAAGGTACGATATGTCTGTCGAACTTAAGATCCAACCTCCGAGAAAGCGCAGGGTCGATATCGTCGACCTGTAAAGAATCATTGCTGATCTGGTCTTCGGTCCGCTGGCCTTCCTCAAGCGCACTCGACTGCTTGAAGTCGCTCGACTCGCTCACAACTTCTTTTTCGCTTCCCATTCTCAATCGATGATGATGGTCGCGTGAAATTGGAGAATGAACGCGTGTGGCCGAAAAGGAATGACGATTGGCTCTCAGTAGTGTGGCTGGCGCCAACTACGATTTATCTTGTTCGACGGCCTGGATGGTAGGACACAAAAAACAACTAATCCGACGGAAAAAAAACTTCGACGGGCGAATGAAAGAACGACCGAGGAACAATGTTTGAGGAAGAATGATGGAATTACGGATTATCCTTTGCTATGTACTTTGCTGGTCCTCGTGGCAGGCAGAGCGGTCTAGCCATGTCGCTCATTACCGTATAAAGGACCCGTACTTACCACGGGGGAGGAAGTCCTAGATAATACAGTACTGACCTACTTAAAGCAGACAGCTCGACAAGCTAGAATGCTGACAGGGTGGTGGAAAGTGGATGGGATCAGTGCGGGGAAATGAAATGGACACAATGGGCTGATGGGGTCCAGGGGGTCACCTGGTGATTGATATTTGTTGTACCCAGGACCAGCAAAACCGGCGACGAATCATGTTTTAGGTAGTGATCGATACAATAAAAAGCCAGGCGAGGGGGCAGGGATCGAACCCTGTCGAGTTACGACCAGAGTGTGCATTTAGGCACATATACACAATGGATGCACATTGTAACTCTGACTGCATGACACAGTCAGTATGCATTTTAGGGAAATTATAGCTGAACGAGTCCAAGACTCCCGGTAAAAATCGGCGTGATGAGAACATCATAGGATCGGGCTAAGATGGGATGCGTGTCTTCTGATGAACGAAGTCAGACGGGATAAATTGTAGCACCGTCACGATCACTGGCGAGCGACTGGAACGTGAGCTTTCAGGTAATAACGACAGTCTGTCGGAGAACGAATATTGATCTACACGAGTTCATTGCAATCGTCGATCATTTCCCGCAACGGCAATTTTTTCATCTTGGTACAAGATCTAAACCACTAGGCGCCAAGTACGAGGCTCTGGGTAGGGCGCTGACGTTGTAATACGCCGTACGGGATCCGTACATTTCGAATGGGATGATAAATTGATACATTTGACACCAAGAAATTGCCTAGTCTTACTAAGATATTCCTTTACCGTATGGATGCTGCATCTGCGTGGGCACAGCGTGAATGTCTCTCTCCGTTGAATTATAGTGAAAATATCCTGAGTGGTGTGAGGAAATTTATTGAGATGTCTCAGTAATCGTCCAGCTGCCTGTACCGTGCTCAGATACATCCCTTGCCTGTGGCATGCATGTGCTCATTCATTGAGACCCAGTTCCGCGAGTATGGCGCTATTGTGCTCGCCGACGGCTGGTACCTTGTCCATCCGGGCATCTGCAGGGTCCGCGATACCCGGAGGTAAGAGAGCCGGGATCTTGCCGTTTGGCGTGTCGACTTCCGTCCAGCGGTGTCGCGCTCTAAGTTGCTCATGCGACCACTACATTGATGTTAGTTCTCATCATTTCAATAGATTCGGCCTGCTCCCGAGATGTGTGCATGAATGCACTGGGCCAGAGGTTCCGTCAACACAAATGTGGAAAGGAGGTAGGCGGGGGCAATATAAGACAACGAAAGGAAGAAAAGACTGCTCTTCACTTACGAGCCCATCCATATCCTTGACCTCAGAGTTAGCGATTTGCGCCTTGTCAAGACGAACGAGGACCTCTTCCGCTGACAACGGCGCAAAAGCCTCGTGAATAATTCGTGTCAACTCCTTCCGGTTTTCCGACCGTAGAGAATTATTAATGAACCTCGGATCCGTCGCAAGATCAGGTTTCTCCAGGACTATATCGCACAACTTAGCCCACTCGCGCTCATTCTGCACAGCGAGCATCACGGAGCCTCCTCCGCCTGTCCCGAACGGACCATACGGATACACCGAGGCATGGGACGCGCCGACGGGTTTAGGCGGCGGTTGCCCTTGGTAGGTGTAGTACATCGGGAAGCTCATCCACTCGGCCATCGCCTCGAGCATGGAAATGTCAACCCGGGATCCCCGCCCCGTCTTCTCGCGCTTCATCAGCGCCGCCAGGATGCCGGAGTACGCGTACATGCCGGACGCGATGTCCGCGATGGAGATGCCGACTTTGGCTGGTCCCTGCTCGGTCCCTGTGACGGACAACAAGCCGGCCTCGCTCTGCACAAGCAAATCATATGCCTTCTTATCCCGGTACGGCCCGAGGTCGCCGTACCCTGAGATGTCGCAGACGATGAGGCGCGGATGTATCGGTTTCAACTTCGCGTAAGACACACCAAGACGATCTGCCGCGCCTGGTGCTAGATTTTGGACGAGGACATCTGCTCGCTCGAGGAGTTTCTTCAGGACATTGAGGTCCTTGGGTTGTTTTAAGTCAAGCGCCAGAGACTCTTTTGATCGATTTGTCCACACAAAGTGTGAAGAGAGCTCATTAACACGTGTGTCGTAGGCGCGCGCAAAGTCGCCAACTCCAGGTCGCTCAATTTTAATAACGCGGGCGCCTAAGTCGGCTAACTGCCGTGTGCAGAAGGGCGCTGCTATGGCTTGCTCTAGACTCACTACTGTCACCCCATCTAGAGGGAGGTTTGGCCTGCTCGGGGTGGAATGATGAGATCTTTGAAGTAGAGTGAACGGTAGTATTATGCGAGGTGTTGATGGTTGTGATGTCTTAATGATGCTTTGAGGCCGCCGTAATCTATATGCAATTTGCGACGCCATGGCGAAAGTTCATGACCTGCCAGTATGGATGAAAAAGAATTAATTTCGTTGTCAGAACTCAAACGTGCATGAGAGGTCTTCTTCCTGTTCATCGGCACGGTACCATGCCACGGGCTCCGCGTCGTCGGCAATCGGAACGACTCCACCACGGTGAAGGAACTCTTGCTGGTCAATTGGGAAGATCATCAAATCCATTTATAACATCCACTTTACCGAGGCTTGTGTTGCCTCTCTCGCGAATCGGAATTCAAGATCTTCAGATGAAATGTAGCTATCATTGAACACGGGGGATTCCGGCATCGGCTTCGCTGAACAAATACGGGTATATGCGGGTATGGCTCAATATTGGATGTTGTATAATTATAGCCACTGACGACCGAGTCTCTCCCGGTCCCATCAAGCTTCCCCTTGCTGCTACCCGTGCGGTCACAGACGGGCCTCTGGCTGCGACTCATCTCTACAACAATGACGAGGACGATGACGAGGGAAGACTATTGAAAGAATCTACATGAAGCATGATGAGGCAAGGCCGGGTATGACACAGAACACCTGGTGGGATACCCTACTTCTGAGGTACCTGTAGCCCGCCCCGAGCGGCGTGGACGGGGCAGGCGCCCAATTGAACATGGCTCAGCCCACTTCTGTGGCGTCGCAGCCATTCCCTGTCCTGATGCGAGTGATAATGAATGGGGTGTCAAATGATAGGTGATGATGATGTCGATGAATGGAAGAGAGTAGGTCTATGACAGCCTGTCCAAGATGACTTGATGTAGGCGTGGTAACTGCCCTCTGCACTGGGTACCACTTTTCCATCCCACCGGCCCCGACCGAAAGCCCAACAGCAAAGTAACTGATCCACTTTACTGTATAATTTATCATAAACATAATCAAACACCGATTCATCATCAATTGCCCCTATGGCTCAGTGGTAAAGCGTCTCACTCGTATAGGACAGTGATGAGAAGACCCTCGGTTCGACTCCGAGTGGGGGCATTTCTTTTGTCATCTGCAATGTCTTTGCGCATGCATGCTCTTTCTTTATTTTTGATATTTTCAATATCATAAATTGATAGATAATCGTCAGTCAGATTACATTCGTTTTGTTTCCTTCTTTCTACCTTTTATTGCTCTTCCATATCCGTCATTCCGCCTGCCATCTTGAGAAGTACGGTTATACGACAATTCGTAATGACTGCCTACACCGAAACCTGCGGATGTATACAGGTGTTTTGGAGATTGAGCCGAGAGATTAAGGAAGGACCCTAGCTAGCCCTGCATACACAATTGATATGTTCAAGTGCAAGTCACAAGTCATAAAGAGCATGACGACAGGACATTGTTACCTCTGTGAAAAGACCCCACGTCTTGGTTGTGGAGACGCTGTGATGGCGCCCATAATTACTCCCAGCTTGCCCCAAATTTCGACTGTTCAAGTCGGCGATATCAAGTGTTGGTGATTGAGTTTCTTGTCTTCACTTGTCGTTACCGGCGCCTCTTCTCTCCACGCCAGACTCGGTCCATTCCTGTTGTCTCTGCTAAACGGAGGGACTCTCTACATAGGCCATATTTGCCTATTGACTTGAAATATTAGGGGAGACATCACGAGAGATCGTTGATATGTCAAGGATACTCAGGCGCCAGCTCGGGTGGATACATGGCCGTAACCCATCAACAAGAGGCCAGGCCACTCGAATATTACCATCACAGCAGCATGCCTTCTCAACGACGCCCCGCCGGTGCATTATGGAGATGACAGGTTTCACCCAAGACCAGCTCACAGTCCGCGAAGCGATCAGCACAGTCTGCTCCCAATTCCCCAACACCTACTGGCAAGAACGGGACCAAACCCAAAAGGACCCAGCAGAGTTTCACGCGGCGCTCGCGAAAGACGGATGGCTCGGAATCGCACTCCCGGAATCCCTCGGCGGATCAGGTCTTGGTATCTCCGAGGCAACGATGATGATGCAGACCATCACCGAGTCCGGCGCCGGTATGGCGGGCGCGCAGGCAATTCACGCCAATGTTTATGCGACGCAGCCCCTCGCGCGTTTTGGTTCGCAGACTCAACTCGAGGACACTATACCCAACATTATCTCGGGGAAGTGGCGCACCTGCTTTGGTGTCACAGAGCCGAATTCGGGTCTCGATACCCTGCGCCTCAGGACAACTGCCACGAAGCAGTCCGATGGCTCATATCGCGTAAGCGGGCAGAAGATCTGGATCACTTGCGCGCAAGTGGCTCGGAAAATGATCCTGCTCGCTCGCACCACAGCGCTTGAGGACGTCTCCAAACCCTCCGAGGGCCTATCTCTCTTCTGCATCGACCTAGACCGCGACTCCAAGGGACTCGACATGCGCAAGATTCAAAAGATGGGCGGTCGCGCTGTCGATGCGAATGAGGTTTTCTTCGACGATTATACAATCCCTGCAGACTCATTGATCGGCGAGGAAGGGAAAGGTTTCCGGATTATCCTGCATGGCATGAATGCCGAGCGGTGTTTGCTGGCGGGAGAGGCACTTGGGCTGGGTTATGCTGCGCTTGCGAAAGCCGCGGGGTATGCGCGGGACCGTGTCATTTTCGGACGACCTATTGGCATGAATCAGGGAATAGCGCACCCGCTTGCTGACGCTTATATGAAGCTCGAGGCCGCGAAGCTCGCTACGTATCATGCGGCGCGCCTCTATGATCAAAGTAATAGTAAGGACCCTTCTGCTCCCACGATCAGACAGGACGCCGTCGGTGTTGCGGCCAATAGCGCCAAGTATCTCGCTGCCGAGGCTGCTTTCACGGCTTGCGAGCGCGCTGTCATGACGCATGGTGGCATGGGGTATGCTGTTGAGTATGATGTCGAAAGATGGCTGAGGGAGTGTCTTGTTCCCAGGATAGCGCCTGTCAGTCGTGAGATGATTATGAACTATATTGGGGAGAAGGTACTCAAGCTGCCGCGGAGCTATTGATTTCCTGTGTGCTATGCTCAAGGCATATCGATGGTGGACGGGTACGCCAAATCTCTGGATCGTCCACGCTCTACTTGAGCGGTTCAAAGCCGCGTTGAGTTGGGAGCTATGCAAGAGGCGATTTACGCAAGAAAAGACGCGATACATGTACGAGGCTTTTCTCGTCTGAAAAACAACAGAAAGCGTAAATGAACTACTAGAGTAAGAGCGGCTAGATACATAAGAAATGCCTGAACTCTTATACTAATTCCCTTCCTCACTGATTCCTCGGATCATCATGATCACCATGACTACTCATGCCTTAGAAAAATGATCGAGTGATCCGTCACATAATCGTAGTCTCATACCCATCTTACGCTGGGTCATCACCGTCACTTTTACCGCGACAACAAGAGAATGAGTTACTTTGGAGAGATGATCAAATTTGTAAGGTATAACGGAACATGATGGAGATAGCAAGCAGTGCTGCATCATCTCCGATTCTATCCAAACCAATCAAATTCGTATAAGACTGCTTTGAAATATCGTTGGTGGAATGTCTTTGAACGCGCATGGATTGATGCTGTAGGAGTTGTCAATGATGCATTCTGTGACCTTTTCCGCTCCTTCGAAGCGTCGTAGTATAGAACATTGCGAATGGTAGGTCATTCAGGCTGGTCCTAGCTGCCCGAAGCTTTGTCATTTGAGTCAATAGCAAGACAACTCCAAGGTGCAGACTATATAGGTCCTATGTATCATATTTCTCAAGGGTTGTTGAGGGAATTTATAATCAAGCTACATCAATCAAGCTATAACGAAGTCAATAAGTCTCTACCAACATCGCATTACACCAAGACAACAGTAATATACAAAGTTATAGAAACGCTATTCGCTTCTCAGAACAAGCCTAATTGATTTACGTTGTTTAAAGCCGCTCTCCCCAGTTTATTAGAACGATTTTGATCCGATGTACTACTGTCACCACCACCATCACCATCACCATAAATACCACCATCGTAACGACCGCCGCAGTCGCTCTATCCCAGCCTTTTATACCCGGTAGACCCGAGCTTTTCTTTATTTGAGGATGGATATCGTTGCCAAAGAATCCTTCCTTGAGGACTCTCGGGCATGAAAGCTCGACTTTCAATGACTTTAGTCACGAGCTAAGACCTATCACAGATCTAGCCACACTGTGCGTGATTGACACCATCCCAGATGGGTTGATCCTCTAGTAACTAGGAGATGCTGACTTTGTTAAGGTGGTCCGATGCTTCTCCGGGCTGATTGTCTTCGTCTTCTTCTTGGTCTTCTTGGTCTTGATGCTCTTGACCTCACGGCTCGGCACAGAGTACATAAATACTTCAGCAAGGAATCAATAAGCCACAAGAGGACTTCGTCCTATGTATGGTACTCTCAAGTACTCTGCGCTGGTTGATAGTCGAATACTCGGGCTGTACCAAGGTAGATAGCTTCGACATTAAACTGCTTCCCTACACTATAACAGTATACTCTAAGGTAGCTCATTTCTTGTTACAACCACTTGTACATTCGCAAAATAATCGGAATACAACAACTCAGCTATACGGCTCTCCAAGTTCGACCTATACCAATACCTCTGCATCCATGTAAAATATCCTGGCATGGAGACCAATGCTCTACCAATAACTTCGGTTTCGTATCAAATGGCTTCAGACAGGACCTGCGTAGTCAGAACGGCCTTGATCCGATTGGCCAACTGGACTTGTACTCACTCGAGTGCGACCTACAGGCCGAGGTCTATATACCTCTTATCTCAGGATCGATTACTTTCAGCAGTGCTGATGTCCTTAATCTACTTACATGATTCCTAAAATACGCATCCTGAGTTTTACATAACAGTCGCATTTTAGATGACTTGGAAGGTGCTTAGTTGCTGCTTTCGATTTATTTTAAAACAGTCAACCCTCTTGAGTATCGATCTGCATTTCCCGAGCATAAATAAGGAGACAAACCATTAATGACCTCGTCAAACAAAAAAAAAAAAAAGAATTCTGGAAGATAAATACCCCAACCGTATCATTGACCTGATGATCACTGACCCTGATCAAGCCCTCATTCTCATTGAGCAAGAAGCCGACGAACCAATCGGCTAGTACTATTCTCCCTTCAAGATACCTTGCCACAATTTTAATCAACGAGATATGCCATTACAGATAGCCGATTTTTACTCCAAAAAGCATTCCCAAATGCACAGTCCTCATAACCACCATTAGCCGGCTCATAGTCACTCACGATCAAGTATCACGAACCAAGACAAGCTGCCTCGAGGGGCGCCCGAGGAGCGAAAGTCTTATGGCGTTATGTATACTCAGGTATCCGAACCGCTGAGAAAACCATCGAAGATGTAGTGAAAGTAGCACCTTGGAAAAAGATGTATGATGACCTTGTTGCGTGTGGTAGTGGTAGTGGTGGTGGTGGTAAAGCACTCCTTATATCATTTCAGTTACCCAATTCTTCGTGTTATCTCTTTTTCTCGTCCAAAGGGCCGATTATTCCCAGTCATACTGTCGTGCTCAGATTTATTATGTAACTATTCATCTATTCATTTCGGAATCTAATAACTATCTGGATCCTTAGCTATGAAATAGACGTAAGTTCCTCTTGACATAGTGGTTGTAATCCGACTATTTCAAAGTAATATTTGCTTGAGCAACGACTTGAAATATCTTGATTAGAACCAATAATAAAATACGAATAACATGGTAATAATCACAACACTCCCCCTATTCTGAACAAACAACTTATAAAGAAACCACTCGCAGCTGCAATCTTTTCCCACTCTCGACCTGCTCATCGCAGCCAGTGCCTATTCCACGATACTTATTGCTGCCGCCGCTGCTGCCCATGCCGACGCCACACTTCATAGGCAGTTGCAATGATCTTACGCTGTAAGAGCGTAGGCAGCTTTCATTTACTATCATTCTCTGAGAAACACTGGATTCCGTGCTACGGACTCGCGATTTTGGTCTCGGTTTCATTACATTCAAGGTTCGTTCAAATCACTACTGCGAGAT